ACAGAGTAAAACCTCGCTACAACAATATTTTGGGGACCCAATAAATATATTGTTGTAGAGGGATATATTATTATATCGAGGGCCTATGTACTTTAGGGACACAATAAGATTTTTTTTAATGTTATATATGTATCAACTATGAATTTATTTATATATTATATAAATATTTAATTTGCAGAGTGGTCATTATGGTTCAATATGAAATCAGATAAGAATGTTACATCTTCTTAAGAGATAAGGGAGGAGGCAATTCTAAGAATAGAAGGTCTAGGGGTGGTCTATGTACATTAAGGATGGGGTATTGAAATCTGAATACAAAAGCCATTCCCTGCGGTGAAAAGAAATAAGATAAGTACATAATCAGCAGTGAGACTTCTCTTGACAGAAAAGACCGAAACAAAAATGGGAAGATATGATAAATCAAGATTTTTTACATTATTTGAAAATCAATAATAAATGGGGAAAATAAGGTTGAAATTTGGAAGAAAAAATATTAGTTTTACAGGGGTTTTATTACTTCAAAGGAAATCACAATATTGAGAGGTGGATAGCATTAATTCGTATGGAAGTTCGTCGGGAGCACTAAACATTATTGTAATAGAGGGAGTTACTGTTGTATCGGATATCGTAGTAGCGAGAGTGCATTGTATGTATGCATATATATATCAAGACTAGTAATTCAAAAGTAAACAATGGGGAAAGTTTTTCGTGTTTCATGATCTCTCAATATCTTATTATTATTTTAGGGAATAGCAAAATTACAATCTTAGTTTGGCAATTCTATAATTTTGCTATAAGGACAATACAATAAAAATAAATGGGGTACAATAATCTGCATATATACAAATAGCAAATTAAATATGTAACATACATTAAAAAATACTTTATGCAATAGCAAGAAACATGCAATGCATCCTATAATTACAATGAATGCTGCCTACCCTTCAATTGGTTTAAAAAAAAAATTCCAGACTGGTTGGAAAAAAAACTACACAAAAAACAAAATACTAATGACTAAATAGAAGCTAAGATAAAAAGTATCACTTTTCAAAGCAAAAATATTTTGTACTTACAATGCATTGAAAAATTCTCTGTATGTAAGTTTATTTATTAAATAACACTTTTAATAATTAGCATCAACAAATTTTAAGTAACTAACAAAAAAAAATATATAATATTCTGATCAGAAAAAAAAAAAACATTTACAACACAGACAACATTCAACACAGCTTTTAGAATTGAAATTCTAAAAAAACTTGATAAACCAATAAATCACCGGTTTTTTAAACACAAATCTATTTAAATCACAAGATCATATAAATTCTGAAAATACAACATTTCATATAACATTCATACGAATTTTATGATTGATAAAATCTTTAACAGGAAATAGAAATTAAATAAAAAAATTTCTTCCTTGCGTTATTCATCCATTGTTAATTCTTAAAAACTCAACAAAAAAAATCATTCTTTTCAAATTACTCATGTAAAGAAAAATAACAAATTACAATCCGTAAATAACTTCTCAAAATAAAATATTGAAACACACCTACAGCAGTCTAAAAAGCAAAAATAATTTCATTCTTAAAACAGATGAATGCTGATTGTACAATTTTAGTAGTATGCAATACATCATTATTAAAGCATAGTTTTTAAACTGTTTATGTACAAATATTCATTAACCCGGTACCCTAATTAATGTGAAAAATTCTTTCTTATAAATAAAATACAATTTTTAGTATTCCATAATTTTCTTTAAAAAATTATTTTTAAAAATTATTATAAAAAATACATTATATATAAGAGTTGCAACAGATTAAAAAAAATATTTATAGTAACTTTAATCTTAATACAAAGTTCAATTCAGTGATTGTTAATATTTTATACTCACAAGATATTGAAACTACCATATTGTATTTTTGTAAATTGAACTACAAACAGCTTTACTTAATGTTAGATTTAATAATATATATCATACAGATGCATATTGTATAAATATATATTGTATAAATATATATTATATAGATATATTATATTATTCACATACATATTAAATATATCTTAATAAGATTTTTTTGCGGGTGGGGGGGGGGAGCATCAGCCAGAAATAACTTCTCAACATCTAGTGGCCATTTTTTACTATTATTGTAACATGCTTAATTCATAATTGACGTCTTATTAAATCCACAATAAACATGGGAAATATGCAGAGAGTAGCCTACATTTTGCATAAAGATTGTAGACAATATTTTTTTTGTTTTTACCTTATTAATAGAAAACAAAGTATAACATACAAATTAAAAAAGACAGGCAGCCATTCCAATAAAGTATAAAAAGTTCACTTTTAGTGCAAAAGCTTAAGAATTCTATTAGGACTTAAATATTTTAAAATAAAGATGTTTAGAAAATAACTTACTCATGCTTCCATACTAATTTGATACTTAACACGTCCTACAACTGAGTTTATTAATTGTAATTTGTTTACAGTTGTGATAAACACAGTTAAAGGACAGGTGTCCAATGTTGCCACTATTATGCCGTTAGTCTTATAACTGTGGTGTCTGTACCTCCATTGGCCAATAACTAATTGTTGCTGCAATGCAACTTTTTTAAACGATTTTCCCAGATTTTTTTTCCTGACAAAATGCTATAAATTTGGTTATCACTTTTTAGTAGTATACATGAAGCATGTTTGATTTACTTTTTAAAGAAAGTTAATGATAAAGCTTTACATACCTAGTTACATTCTACAGTTAACCAACATTTATACAACATGAAGATAACAAATTGCATTAGTCTTATCAATGAAATAAAAATTGAGAAATTTCAAGCCATATAAGCTTGAATTTAAGCAAAAATAGCAAATATATATATTAATATTCAAAATATGTTGATCTAAATATATATTGAACACATTGTTGTATACTATCAACATCACATAAAGAATGAACAAGGATTAAAACAAGAGGACCACTCCGTCCTCTTTTGACCATATATATGTACATGTAACTCTAAAATTTAAAGAAACTAGTTAAAATGAGATAAAAATTAATTACAATACAATTATCAAAGATTATAAGGCAATGAAATTGCTTTAGATTTGCACTTATAATATGCCTATGAAAAACAAAGTCTAAAACTGTATTAGGCTTCACTCTGGTAGCCGAAACTTACCAGTGAGCACTGCAGATTATCACAGCCTCTGCAGATTATTTTTCATTTCAGATTTTCTTTTCTTTTTTTTTTTTACAAAAAAAATTATACAAAAATGGTTGAGAGGAGAAACACAAAAATAATTTTTTATTCCTTCACTGGCGCAAGTATTGTCTACTACAGTTTTTTAATAATATTTTTCAATCTGTAGATATACAATTAATAAAAAAAAAGGAAGAATAATTTTAAAAAATTTGAATTCTTCTTTAATTAACTGGAATTTTGAAAAATAAAGAAATCATATGAAAAAAAGGAAAGAAAAAAAAACATATTGAATTCTAAAAACTTGGTTATAGGTATAAGAATTTATATCTCATAAACTTGGTTATAGGAATTCATTCCAGTCTTTAAAAATGTTATTGTACAAAAAAAGTAAATTAAGTTAACATCAATTTTTAACAATGTATTTTTGTGCATAATTTTTATTAAAATTTTATGTGCAAATTGTTGTATGTTTTCAACAATATCTCTGTCACAGACAAATTTTGCTGCAGATTGAATTTGTAAATATTATACGGTTATTTTACTATAACTGCTAACAAATAAAAATAAACACAGATATTTTTAATTCTTTAACTGTATAAATTAATTTAATTTAAAAAAAAAATTCAGTATCTTTTGCAATAAACATAATTGCTGCCAATATTTTCTAGATAATTCCTTGTTTACTATTTGGTTATATCTAAAACATTTTAAACAAAAGAAATTTTAGGGATTTTTCTATAAATTTAAAAAATACTACCGAAACTATATTACACTTAATATAAATTGGCTAAATTCAATGCATTATTTTTCTTCATGATTGATATTGACAATTGCTTATGAATTTATTATTGACTTGAATATAAAAGGTTTTTATTATGATTAATTACACTTTTAAATTTATAATTTTGATTACTGAATATACAAAATTATTAGCAGATTAATAAATTAGGTAATTAAATAAGAGATAATTAAAATTATTAATTTATAGATACCGAATTTGTTTAAGAGCTATAACATAGATTGATTACATATAAATAGCTGGAAAAAAATTTACAAAATTTTAAGCAGAATAGCTTTTAACTATTACAATGTGAAGTTTAGTTTATTACAAACAATTCTTATTTAATGCTAAGGCAAACAGTGTAAAAAATTACTTTTCATAGAGGAATTTTTTTCAACCTTTTCTTATTTTATAAAATTTCATAAAGTATACGAAAATCAGGGTAAATTTTGATTAACCCTTTCGCGCCGACTGTCACATATACGTGCCAACAAGAAACGCGCTCACTTCCCGGCTGACACACCCGTGTGCCAGTGCGTCTTCTTGTTCACCCCCGGCCTATACTCATTTGTGCCAGCGGTTGGGAACGTTTTAAAAAATAAAATTTCTTCCAGAAGATGGCATTGCATGTCCATATGGTTTCAGATACATGTAGATTTGACCTTCTGCTCATGAGAGTACATTCACTTGATTTTTATGAGGAATGGAGGGGGAAAGAATGTTTTATGACGGCTCTTTAAATTCGCACACGGTATTTGTTTACTGTTAGCAGGGAATTTTTTTTCTCTCGCTACTTTCGATTTTCAGTTTAGTTTTTATTGGATAGTAAGATCTTGCAGATCCCTGTTATAAAACTTTTTTTCCCTAGAGAGACACACGCGAGAGAGACTGCTGGCCTCAGCAGTAAGAGCTCTTTCGCGTTTCCCGTCGCGAAAGGGTTAAATTAGAAGAAACTGATAAAATCCAGTATAACTGGCAGAAGTTTTCTAATAACTTTTAGACTAAATAAATTTCACCTGGAAAAGATTAATCATATCTTTTATACATAGACACAATTAGAAAATAATAATAAATGATGCATTGTGCTCAATCAAAAATAGGCATTTTAACTAAGTACAAACATAATAAGAATAACAGCATGATCAACACAGTTATAAATTGTCAAAAGAGCGAAAAGTTATAAATTCTCACAGATTAAAACGAGTGATAGGCTTAACAATCTCTAATACTATTAACAAAATGTAATTTCAATGATCACATTTGAGTGAGAACAAACAACTCATTGGTCTCGCTTCAAATCTTCACGGTTCTTCTCATAATGTCTTGCCCACAGTACAAAAATCATTATAGTAATACAGATAGTAAATGATACTAAGAAAAAAACATGTAAAGACCAGTACTCGGGAATAACATGTTTCTCAGTTAAAAGCATGTCTTTTCTATGTGTCATATCTATTATGACGGCACTCAACTGGTGGTGAGTTGCCATTATTCCAGATATATGCAGCAGCTGATGACTATTTCCTAGAAAATCAAACTTTCCCGGAGCGAGACGCTCCGGCAAATGAGACGAGTAGAAGAAACCGATGCAGAATGAGAAAAAGAATTGCAAGTTGTAATGCTCCAATGCAGACGGAAGAATGTCGGCACTGTAATTCAATCGGTAAATCACCGGAATTTGGTCCCAAATCCAAGGCAAGGCGAAGGCTCCGAGTCTAAATATTTTGATGAGAAGTAGATTTTCTAAAAATCGAGAAAAACACGCAGATATGTTGCACGCAATACAAAAGAACACCAACACTTCCAAATAGAATTTATCAAAAAGCGTTCCGGCTAATTCGGTCGGAAAAGAATACGCTTTGATGAGAAGGCCAGCCCCGTAACCGTATAAACTTAAGCCGCCGTAGTCGAGAAAGAACCAGACGTGGCGTGCCATATCCGATATGCTGCAGAATGTATGAGCCAGGGCACTTATGAGTGGGTAGAGGCATATTGTAAACATGTATATCACAAATGGCCAGTAGTACGAATCAGATATGACTTTTAATATGTCCCAGAATGTAAACAATTGGTACATAAAATAGAAGGTTGGAATAAAGTGAGTCCAAAAATTTAAGGTTTCATTAGTGGCAAAGAAGACACTCAGGGCACATTCTTTGGCTGAACTTGAAGGTGAACGATAACCAGTCAAAATAGCTACTTCTCTGAGGTGTGGAGGGATTTCCTCATCTTTATAGAGAGAGATATCCGGAGAGGTCGGGAGTATTTGGCTCATTTTCTCTTTATACGCATTTAGCAAAAAGTAGCTAGAATAAACAGATTTTATTAGCCTCATTCATCAAACAATTTTTTTAAAAAGAAAACAGAAGAAAATATTTCAAAAAAAAAAAAAAAAATGGNCTTCAATGAGTGATTAAAGCTTTTGTCTGGAAATCAAAGCTATAGTATCCAGTAAAGCTTTAAACATGATTTGTCTCGTATTGGACTGATCGTCAAGACACGGTTGCCAGCAGATAACGGTAGTCAAGCATCACTGGCTGCGGTCAGCGTGCAGGTGGGTGACCACTTGGATCAGTCTGCTTAAGGACTGAGGGTGTGTGGTATGGGTCCTCGTTAAACGGTTTTACCGTATAGTGCTCGGCTTCGCGAGCAGGTTGTTGGGCTACCGAAGCGGGGGTGCCATCCCCTCTGCAAAAAGATCAAAATTGTGATGGCTTGTCTTGGGATCACCCTCAGGGATGTTTATCAGACCGTCCCCAATAGCCCATTGTGCAGCTCTAGTGTGACATAAATTAACTACAATTACAATTAAACATGATTTAAATCATTTGATTCTTTTAAAAAAGAGGCATTGATTCAAGTCTTAGGTTCTCAACTCTGATACAGAGTTTTTGCAGAAAGATTTTTCAATTTGGAAGGGGAAAATTTTGGCTTTCCTTTCTGCATAATTTTTAGAAAAATATTTTTTTTTTCCCAAGATCTTTTTCTTGTGCATCATAAAGAAAAGAAACAATCATGAGNAAAAAAAAAAAAAAAAAAAAAAAAAAAAAAAAAAAAAAAAAAAAAACGGTACTAACTGGCTTCAGCTGGAATTTCAAATTGATAACATAAAATAAAAATTAAGAAATCGCGAAATTTTGAAAGATAGTTCATTCTAGAAATGATGTTCTTTCTTTCATTTTTTTTTCCTTTAAAGAAAACCATATTTTACATACTCTTATTTGAGTATCTCTTTCTTAAAGAGTCCTATTTGCATGATTCGTAATCTTTATTTTGAGAGTTTGTACGGATTTTATGATTTTCAATTTATGTATGAATTTGAATTTATTATGGTTTAATTAATTGAGTGATTTAAATTTGTGTAATGATTTACAAAATTCGAAAGAGGAAATAATTAGTGCATTTTTCCGCCTATAAAATGCGAGAATATTGCCTATAATATTAGAACTAAAAAAATTTTACTTTTACAATTAGAAAATTTTATTCTATAGTTTCTTCTGCATACACAACGTTTCCGCTACATTAAATTAGTAATTGTTATAATTAAAAGTATCTTAAAAGCAAAATTTTAGTGCTAGGGTAGTTTGTCGCAGAAAGCACGACAAAAATTTCGCCACAAGGGTTCTCAACCTTTTTTTGAATCTACACTCACTTTATTTAATTTTTAATCGGTCAAATATTTAGAAAAAAATACAAAAATTTCTTTACTCTTTCAAGATTAAAATTTAAAACGGCAAAACTAATTTGAAAATTTAAAAAAGTTTTTTTTTTTTTTTTTAATTTCATTTTAAGGAAAAGCAACTTTTACTAAAGTTAAAATTCTGCCTAGAATATTTTTTTTCTCCACGAACTGAAAGTTAACTTTTTATTAATCTGAAACTTAAAGGTAATATAAAATTCATAGGTAGCAAAAAGTTTAAATAAAGTAATTGCAAATATATCAACTATAACTAATAAGATAATATTCAAATTTAAAATTAAAAAAAAAACTTCATTTTAGCATATATTTTTTACCACATAATAGAAATTATTAAAACATCATTAAATTTAGGTCATTAAAATAATTTGTTGTGCTTAAATATGTGAAAGAGAAAAAAAAATTATTTTAATGACAAATTCAGCACATAATAGAAAGAAAATAAAAAGTTAAATAACACATTTAAAATGTTAAGAAAGTTTTATTATCTCAGGTGAGTAAAAATAAAGCATTACTTAAGGGTATACATATGAGAAGATAAAAATTCGTATGGATATCTATTTAATTGTAATAATAATTTTTATTCTTCAAAAAAATATACATTGCAAAAGAAAATGCATGCAACATAATAAATTAATACAAATCACTTCATAAATAAAATGCTAAAATTATTAATAATGAGATATTTTTGAATAAATACTTACTTTTTTACTTCTTGACTTAAACATAATTTGGATATCAACAGGTTGTATTTGGCATGGATATCTAAAAACACACGTAAAAACATTTATGAATATTATTTAAATTTACCGAAGAAAAAAAAAAAACAAATATTAAATTTTAACTGATTACTCATAAAATAAAGCATTCAAATACTTCATTTACGAACGACGCGGACAGAAACATTTAAAAATTGGATCGTAACAGAAAGACAACCGATTCATAACTTACTTCTGTTTACATGGTTATTGATCGGGTGTGTGTGTGGATGGTTTCGTAAATTCAGCCAGACAGAGAGTTTCGTAAAATCAGTTCTAATTATAGGACGTGACACAATATGCAGGATGTTGGTGTATAGGTTTTGTCTAAATTACTCAACGGCAAAAGGAAAAAAACAATAACATTCTTGATGAATAAGGAAATGATGGAGGGAGCACATGTACAATATTTATAAACAAGGGTAAAAACCACATTCACGCCACACCTGAATATTGAAAACAGTTCATTTAAGAGAATATAAAGATTCGAGACTTACAAACCCAGCTCTTGATTAAAACAGGGATAAATTTAGTCATCGTTTGGGTAGTCCTTTTTAGAATAAAAGAATATTTTTTAACAATTTGTTAGCATTCCACCACCAACCTCACCGCCCTTCAGCATCGAGCGATCGTTTAGTTTTTGTTGAATGAAGGCGGAGCTGAAAAGTAAACAACCGAACAACAAAATCTAAATTCGAAAGCGCCATCTGAGAGAGAAAGTTTAGAATTGTATTTCTTCTTATCAGAATATAAAAAAAAGAAGAAATAACATCCAGTCTGTTGCAGTGACTAGAGAATAATTAATGTTAATCTTTGATAATACCCACAGCTATGTTAATATTTGATAACAAAGCTATTTTATATTAATAAGGTAGCTGCAGAAATTTTTTCCAGGAAGGAATCGGAGAAAAAATTATTCATTTAAATGCATAGAATTAAATAAATAAATTTATTTTTTATTTAATGTTTAAAAAGTTCTCTCTATGTGGTTTCTAACGAGTTATTATTAGCTATTACAAAAAAATTTTCTTCTTCTTCTTTTTTTTTAAGATAAATTCATACATTTTTCTGCTGTTTAAGTAAGAATGCTTAAATGGAAGACAATTTTAATTATCACTACAGAAAAACGAAATTTGTTTCCTTTTTACAATTTTAACCTTTTAATTTTATAATGTGATCCCCCTTAAGAAGAATCTCAAGAATTTCTTTTGGAGAAAAAAAAAAAAAACTCTTAAGAATATCTTAAGTTGTTGGGTCCACTTATTCTTAAGATTTTCTTAAGAATATTTTATTTTATAACCGTCATTGAACAGCCGACCCAATTTTCGGGTTTACGACTTCTAATGTTCAACTCCGTAGTCTTGTCATTTTGAACCCAAACCAGAAGACAAGGGAACTCCTGGATCTAGTATTGGGAGAAATTGTGGCTTTCGTAGAGAACTTTTTGATGGAACTAACCAGCATTTGCGTTACATGGCGAGGAAGACCACGAGAACCTCCCAAGGTTCAAAGGGACTGTAACCCGTGATCCGTCTACCCCTGAGGATATTTCACGTCAGCACTGCTGTCGGTGCAAGCCGGATGCGGATTCGTATCGACCAGTCATTGGTAGGATTCGAACCCGGTTCACATCATTGGAAGGCGAACGCTCTATCTCCAGAGCCATCCCAGCTCTCTTAAGAATATTGTCTGAAGAAAATTCTAAGAAAATAATCTTAAGAAAATTCTCGGATTATAATCTTAAGATTAAGGTTTATGTGGGCCAAATAATTCTTAAGAATATAATTTGAAGAAATTCTTAAGATAATTTGAAGAAAATCGACGAAATATAATATGGAGATTTAAAAAAAAAAAGGTTTATGTGGGTCAAATAACTTAAGATATTCAACAGATTTTTTTTTTATTTTTAGATTTTCTAGAGAATATTTCAGATATTAAATTTTTTTAGTCGAAAAATTTTCTTCAAAATGTAAACCAATGTTCGGACGACCACCGGCTAAATTAACTTCCTTCTAACAAAAGGAGGATTTCTGAAAAAGCTTGCACTTTATTTTGCTTTTTCGCTATTATTTGCATTATAACGACAAGTTCGCGATGACGACAATTTAATCTGCTATTATGAATTAGTGTTGTAATAAACTATTACAGAACTTGAAATTTAGAGAACTATCGTGTATTTTAGCTTTGCCTAAAAATAAAATTAAAAAAAAACGCACCTTTGACGCTACCTATAATCTGAACTTACTAAAAACAATTTCAATGTTTTATGGTAGGTTCGAAGAAAACATTAAAAAATAAATATTTTCCGCATTGTTGATTAACTGCACACAAAAAAGCAGGAAAAAAAATTCTTATGAGAAAGTAATTTTTTTCTTTCAATTCTTTACAGTATATAGATTTTATACAGAAAAAAAAAGTATTTTTATACAGAAAAAAAAAGAGGCAAAAAATAATGAATATAAAATTTAAATATTACGTTAGCATCTAAAGGGATACGGGTTAAAATTTTTGCTATATCTGAAATAAATTTTGCTTATATATCCGGAAAATAAACTAAAAGAAAACTCTTGCATTTCGCAAAAATCATCAATTTCGGAAAAAAATTAAATAATTTTTCTTTTTCACAAGCACTTATTGTTTTATTTTTGTTAAATGAGTCTAACATCACTGAAAAATAGAACTACCACAAAAGCAAACTTAAATGTTAATAACTCATGATTTCAGTAAGACATTCAATTCTTTTAAGAGCCGGTGGCAAATTCACGTTTATTCATGAAAATCCAAGCGTTTCATGTTCTATTTTGGACTTTTTAAAAAGCAGTGAGGCTATGTTCAAAAAAGGCAATATTTTAATATATTCTTAAAATTAATGATTCTTTCTTTTCAAGATGTTGTCAATAAAAGGAAGGTGCGAATAATTGAAGAGACGTAACAGCTTTTCTTTTTCTTTTCTTTTTTTTTTTTTAAAAGAAGAAAGAAAGAAAGAAAAAAAAACTTATAAATTTTCATTAGTTAAAATTGAAAACTAAAACTATTCGATACATATATATTTACTTTTTTGACTTGCATGCGATTGACCCCCCCCCCCTCCCTTAGTTCTATAAAGAGTCACGAATATATTTGGAAGAAAACAATTATAAACAAAGATAAAAAGATATGAAAAGGTGTTTTTAAAAACATATACATATTTTTTTTATTTCTTTTGTATAACGTTATCGAAAAATGGGGAAAAATACAACAAAATATTTATTTCAATTAAATAATAGTATTATTTTAATTATTACATTAAGCTATTGAATATTTTTAAGAGTATTGAAATGTTTTGAGATAAATGAAAAAGAAAAAAAAACTAACAAATTTGAAAGTACTCCATCGATTTCATACATTTGTTATAAAAAATTTATAAACAATCATTAAGAAATGTATGATTGATAAGTAAAAAAAAAATATTAAAGGAAATTTGAACTTTCTTTTCATTCAGTTTGGAAAGTGTTAAAATGATGGACAGTTTTTATTCCCTCTCTTTTTTTTTTCTTTTTTTTTATAATGTTGTTTACTAAAAATCAAAACAACTTGCAAAGTGTGAAAAAGGAAGAAATATGTAATTTTTTCGATATATATCTTCTATGTGTTTAGGAAAAACTTTATTAAATAATTTTTTTTTTCTTTTTCTCTTTAAGTTTTATAATTCAATTAAATTTTCTGCATTTTAAAAACATCAATGAGGTTTTTCAAAATGAGTAAATTCTGTTGGGACTTATTTTTAATGGTTACTCACATCTGAATATGTTAAAAAGCAATGGGGCGGAAGTGACGCAAAACCCTTATCTCATTTCACTATTGAATGATTAATAAATTAAACATTTTACAGGTCACAGTCATGTGGTTTTTGTTGTTATTTTCTTTATTGCTTTCCGGTTTTTCTGATATCTTATTTAATTACAACACCCTATTCCTCACCAAATTATTCCTAATTTTTGGCCTGGAAGATATTTTTTACTACAAATTCAGCAGTTCTCAATATAACTGTCTAATTTGTAAATTTTTAATACGTAATCGTTGTACATTTTCAACATTCCTACGTAATTTCTATTTTTTATAGACGTTGCGCAGCAACATGTCAATTTGAACGCTAAAAACATCGGCTTGACAATTTTTTAATACAGTGAGACATTTAAAAACGCGTTAAATGCATGATGATTACATAATCATTAACATCACTGAATGATTATGACATAATGCAAACAAGCGTCATTTTGAGTTAAAAACGTCAGTTGCAAAATGTTCGCATTCGAAAAATTGCTAGATAGGCTACTAATCCTTTTTTTTATGAATGTGACATCATTCAAAGTACATATTATGAAAAACAAAAGTTAAAATTAGATGCTGTCTCTGCCATTACTCTGTTGCACTCTTACTTTAAATTAAAACTTTTTAGAATTAACAGAGTATAATGCAATGCTGATATTTTCTTTTTTTTACCGTATATTAAAAATAAACTAAAATTTAACAGAAAGAATAAATATACTTTGCCAAATCCAATTAATACATACTTATAAGATAAATACAAGAAATAAAAAATAAAAGAAACAAAATAAAAAAAAAACTGAAAATTTTAATCTTATTAACAATGACAACTGTTCATTATTTTACTTCCCATAATATCTAAATTCAAACATTATTTATGAATTGAATAACATAGAAAAAAATAAAATGTTGTAAAGTCGTAATTATTATAAAGGGCACAGTCATTAAGATCACTGGGCTATTCCAAAATATAATTTCGATTGGTAATATGAGGAAGTTTCATAGCACTAAAATATGATAAATACTTAGTTTTAGTTGATATTTAAATCAAAAACTTATTTCAGCTAAACCTTTTTAAACCTTTGAACATTTTTCCAGCCTGAATGATTGAGGGAGTAGGCGGAGGAAATCTATTGAAAAAACACACCTGCTCAAGGAGGTCATGACTCGCCAAATTTTTAGGACGATAAAGGGTCTCAAATGGAAAACCGATTATTATAATAAAATAAAAAAGATATTCGTAGCACTTAAGTCACAATGTATCAAATTTTTTAAAAATGAATGCTTTCGTTGCTTTTGGTTCATTTACCGTCGTCGTACGAAAAATTACTAAGGGGTGGTATATTAATAATCTTTTGACACACATGGGTGTCCTTTTGACAAATATTTTTTACTGACGATCTAATTAAAAGCAAAAATATGCTTAGGCATTTTTTAGTTCTGAAAAACCCTCGAATAGTTACTAAAAAAGTTGTTTAGATTATCAGTCATTTATTTGTGTAAAAAAATCTTTTTAAGAAAAAAGCGTAATTCAAAAGAATTTTTTAAAATATATAATATATATCCGTCGCTGAACAGCTGACCCAATTTTGGGTTTATGAGTACTCATGTTCAACTCCGTAGCCTTGCCATTTTGAACCCATCCGGAAGACAAGGAAACCCTTGGATCGGTACCCCAAGAGGTATTGATTTGTTATAGAAACATGGATGACTTCGCGACTCGACAAATTTAACGTGCATCAGTCACCCTTTACTACACGGGGTGTTTTCGGCCTATAGGGCTCGAACTCACGCCCTCCTGGACATGGGCCCAGCTCCTTACCGACCAGGCTATCCGTGAAATGGTGGTCAGTCAAAGTAAAGCTCTTCGTTCATTCTTAGAAAATGTTTCTCTTCTGAAAGCTAAGATTTCGA